AAAAAAAAAAAAAAAAAAAAAAAAAAGACAGTAGGTTATGTGTTTTATGGAACATTCTAGTAAAGAAAATATCATAATAACTACAATAATAATACCTTAAAAGAAATTTCTGGATTTGAGATTGGTTTGCTTAACCCCGTCATTCTAATTTTCGAGACATGGTCTCTTAAACAACCATACGCTTCACTTGTGTTCATGTTACACTTTAAACTCTTTCCATCAGATGCAGCATCTCCTAATGCTTTTAATGCATTGGCTTGCTGGGAATCAAAGTACTCAACGGGATCCTGTACACAAGAGCAAAATGACTTTAAAGTCCTTTCAAATTTTCATATGTCAAGTATGGTTCAGTTAAGGGTCAAACCTTACCCTAATACAAAGGGGGGCAACTGTAGGCTCTCGAGGCCCCTGAAGATCGTCAATCTCAACCATAGCTGACATCCTATTCAAGACATCTTTCTCCATATTTCCATTCAACCCATCATTAGCCATCTCGACTGCAAAAGCACTAACCAGTTTCATAATTTCAATTTCATCCTATATATGTATGTATATAATACACATGTATGTGTAGATATATGTATATATGCATGCACACACATATATGTTATAAATATGCATGCACACACAAATATATATATGTGTATGTATACACATATATTTCTTATGTATGTATACATATATATTTCTAAAAGATAGAAACTGAGATTAGCTTGGCCTTTTTTTTCTTTTTCTTTTCAGCCACACAACTCGTTTAAGAAGACAAGTCGGGTAAGCTCATCTTGTATATACTGTTAACCACAATAGAAAGAAGCTTTCTCTGATTCTCAACCTTGTTTTGTGCGGGCAATTGCTTCTGCCATGGCCCTTGGATCTCGAAGCTCATCTGCATGCAAATGTTTTGGAAAGAAAAAGGACTAGTTATCGACGATGAACAAGATACCAAAAAAAAAATTTTAGCTTTCTTAAAGACAACCCAGTTTTCATGTAAAAGCAGTTCACATATTTCAAAAGAATAATAATTCATGCAATACAAGATGATAATATCAAATAAACAAAAAATAATAATAATAATAAAAATAAAATAAAAAAACAACACTACCAAATCCTAATTAGTAATAACAAATATCCAGTTACTCAGCCGAACTGCCCACTGGCGCGGTCCTGAAGACCCTTCAAAACCACAACAAAAGATGTAAAATAGAACTATCGATAAGATTCATTCAGTGTTGCATTACAGAAAAAGTTAACTTGTTATTTGCCTTATTTAGAAAAAACATTATAATACAGTTAAAATTAGATGATTGGACAAAACTAGATGTTTCGACTCAATTTAAATAATCGGAAAGTCAAATACTCAAATGTCAATGTTTCTGGAACAAAAAATATGTGCTTTGGTCCCAAATCTCGATCTAGAAAGGGCTTGAATCATAAGCTTTCTAGTTATAGAGAACTGCAAAAGGTGTACAAAATTACAATACTCCTAGAATTACAACACATGACACTCCTACCATAAAGTTTTATGTTAGCTTACATCCAGTTTGGTTTACAAATAATGATGAAATACTAATATTACTTATTTACATGCCCACGTCACATTTGAAATTTTAGACTTTGAAACTAAAATCAGTAAATCTAACTATTTAAAATTAATAAAAAAAATACAAATATTATTTTATTTATTCATTCAACTCAGCATTTTTACATAATCAAAACACCAACACAGGCAGTCACTATTAACGGTTTTGAAAACTAAACCAATTATTGAACCAATAAAATTACCGGTAATTTTATTAGCGATTCAATGCTCACAGGTCCTAAACCAAAGAAGTTCAATTCCGATAACATAAAACGATGCATTGAATAAATCACCAAATGACACTTGTGAAGGATAATGGGTTTCTATTTGGTGCTTCCTTTGTCACTTTTATCAGTTGCTCTTGTTAGATATCAATTTTATTTCGTATATTTCATAGTTGGGTTAAGGGGCCATTTGCTTAGAATATCCATTAGGGTTATATTTAGGTTTAGGACGATCCAAGTAGACAATGAATTGACCCTAGGGTTGTTTTTTGTTGAATAGGATTTTTGGCTTCAAGCTGAGGCAGGAAGTTTCTTCCTGAAATGTCAGCCTTAGGATGCTTAGGATTCGTCCCAAGTTATTTTCATGTTATTATCTTAATTAACAATATCAATTATCGATTATTTTCCTTTTCTTTTCACTCTTAACTCTGTCATCTCTCTTTTACTTCTTCCAAATGTCTGGCTTTTCTTGACCTTTCTTTGATTTAAATGTATCTTTTTAATTACTTTCATATTTGAAATTTGAATTTTCTTAAGACAGGTACTTGGTAATTGTGAAGTTGTGGAAATTTCTATCTATCTCACGTATGATTTTCAACATAATTTTAAAATAATATAATATTTTATTTGTTTCTACTCCAATAGGCCTTATTTTAAATTAAAATAATATATTCTTTTGGGTCAGCCATAGGCCTTATGGCATATTTTAAACAGTCAATTTTGACTCGCCATATACTCGCCATTATCCACTACTCATAAAGAACCAGGGTCGATTCCACATATTTGTAGGATATCTCATCCCATTATAAGGTGGTCTTCAACACTCATCATTCTACCTAATAAAAAGCAGTCAACTCAATACATCATCTAAGTAATCATATCCAAATAACCATACCAAGTACACATGGAAATATGAATCACTCAGATCTCTTATCTAATCTGATTCCGTTAAGTAAATGAGGCATACATATTGATGAATCCTACTAGTGCAAGAAATATCTTATGTACTATGATAAAACTCAAACATAATTATAAGTATGAAGAAATAAATATCTAGTAATGTTACCTTCTAGATCCCAATTGTTATATAGGGTGGAGTAATAAGTATATTAACTTTTAAGTGAATAATTATAATGCTATGGATCAAATGTTGTAACAACGTCCTAGCATTTTCCATATAAATAGGGTTCTCTCTTTATAAAACCATAAGAAATAAAGTGAATTCCCTTTCTTGTTTGAACATGCTAAAAATTTCTACTTTTTTCCCCCAGAGTACAGAAAATCAGCTACAGTGATCCTCAACATGCTACCAAGTTTTAACTATCAACGAGATATTATATAGGCACAAAGATCAATTACCTAGTATTCTTCCTTGAAGCACAACAGCAGCATGTTGATTGAGGTCTTGTGAGAAGTCTCTTCTGTACGGCTCATATTGTGTCTCCCGGGCATCCTTACTCTCTTCACAACATAAGCCGTGATCCTAATTACTCACCATTTTCAAATTTCAACAAGATTAATGGGAGAAGCATCATCATTCAAAAACCTGTAAATGCATTATTACAACATTTCAAAATATGGGATTCCAAGAAGTACCGGGATATGTATGTAATCATCGCCAAGATCAGCTTCCATGTCCAAAGCTGGATCAACACGTCTCAACTGAAATCACATGAATATATATGGAAAGAACTTTAGAATTAGTTACACGCACATCCTCTCTCTTAGCCAGGGATATTAACCTTTTTACGAGCTTCCTTTGTCAAAATGACATCTTTCATCAGAAAGATAGCAAGTTCTTCATCTTCAGCAGCCTCGGCAGCAGCAGCAACTACATTCTTAGTGCTGTGGAGATATTCAGCTCTTGAGAATTTTGTCCAAAATTCCTTATCTGACATCTGGGGAATTACAGAAACTTCTAATTAATCAATTGTATTGATTTAAAACTTTTCTTTATAAATTAACAAAACCTTTTTGGGTACGAAATTCAAGTATGCTTGGCGAATAGCCGGTTTCTCAGCAAATATCTGCAGAAAAAATGTACTGTTATACATTTCAAGAGAAACAGCATCGGTAAATAACGAAAAATGTTTATTTACTAATACGACGTTTTTTCTATCATTTTGTATACATTTCTTATTTTTTTATAAGAAGTCTTATAAGAAATACTTTAGTTGATATTATTCGCTTTAAGATGTGGGGCAAATGTACCTGATGGATAATCTCCGGAGTCAAGTTGAATGTAACTCTGTTAGACTTACAAAATGGAAAGCGGAAACATGTCAATTAGCTAGCATGCCAACATAACATACAAAGAAGTTGCACTGTTTATTTCTCGTCTCGTACCTGACCATCCGATAAGGGTTTGACAGTCCACATTTCATTCTTTAAGGCCATTTTCTGCTGTAGCCTTTTGCCGTTCTGATTCTGGAAAGATATTAAGCAACAAGGAAGAGGAAAAGGGAATAAGGGAAGTGAAATAGAGAATAATCTTGCCTGACCTCTCACAGATTTAATATACAAAAAGGAAAAAGTAGTTCCAATTAAGCAACAAAGTCAACCGGCATGCACGCATCAACAAATTCAATCGCAGGAAAACTAAATGCAGTAAGAACAAATTTTAGAAAAGACCGATTAACACTAAATAAGCCTTTCGAAGAAACATTGGATATAAAAAGTGCAAGTTGCTACGCAGAGCACTTTTGGGGATGTATTCATTTAAGACTCTAAAATTCTAGGACTTTCTAGATTCGAGACTTCATAAGATTTATCATAATATTTTTTAACTGAAATCGTGGGAAATTAAAGTCTAGAGAATGCATTTGATGGTAGGATTTCGTACATGTATTTGTGTTTAAAAATCTAAATAAATCTTAATAAATACAGTCCAAAACACAAATTCCAGAAAGTGATATATAAACTGAAAACATCATACCTCTTCAAAACTTTTCAAACTCTCAAATGAGAGTCTCATGAATTTTTTAAACAGTCCAAAATCTCAAGGAATACCTCCAAACTTAAAACATTTATTAACTTTCCAAGTTAACTATGCCACCATTCTTAAATTCTCAAAATCTTTAAAAATAAAAAATGAATACACCTCCTTTTACCAATCTATCCTCAACAAATACACTCGAGAGAATTTTAAACAGAGAGGCTATCTTGGCGAGCAGCCCTCATATATAATTAACTGGAAAAAAGTTAAAAACCAAGGAACATACATTCAAACGTTGAGGAATTTTAGAGAGGATATCATCAAACAAAAGTAAGGCTCATAACATCATTGCAAAGGAATTTGGTGAAATATTTAGGAAAACAAGTTTTGAATTCTTTGGCATCCAAAATAAGCACACCATTGTCCATAATACTATACTATGAATTGAATACTTGAAACATACTAAAAAAACTTAATACCTCTCATTCTTGCGAGTTGAGATTGTTTCAGTGAAAAAAATGTAAAACCAAAAGGCACTTTAACCAGAATAATAGATGTACTAGTATTACAATTCATCTAAGTTGAATCATTATGAAATTTTGCAAAATCCCAAATAGTGATGAAAGAAATCCGGTGTTAAAGAAAACCAAATAGTAAAACTAAAGGTCTATTGGAATTTAATATGCAAACTAGTATAAATGATAAAATATATATATATATATATATATATATATATATATATATATATATATTTTGACTTGCTATTTCCTTAGAATCAACAATCGAAAAACTGGGAAAAGGGAGCAAGTAGCTGCTAACCTTCCTAGTGGCCCAAAATTCTGCCTCTGTGAGTATACTTCCACTTACAAATTGCTGGTGAAGCTTCCGCAATTCGCTGTGAGTGGCAAAATACAATAAGTGAAAATCACATACTCCTAATGATCCTGTAAGGGCACAAATCATTATTCAAAATAAAGACAAAAACAGAGTAGAGGAGGAAAGCCTTTGATATTACTTGTCGTCCTGAAGTAACTTAATCCGGTGCTCTAATTCCACTGTGCTAAGCTGTTCATCCTGTAATGAAGGAGTTGGCTTTTCAAAGCTAGTTTTTTCTCTTCCTCCATTCAATACAATAGCTGCAGTTGTGTCCACGTGTCACCACACAAACTCTTTAATTCAACAAGAACACAAATAATAATGTAAATAGTGGCAACTCACACACAAATTCTCGGCAAATGTCACGATCGGAAACAGTTTCAAATTCAAATATTATGTCACCACACTGGAAAGGTAAGCAAAAAAAAAAAAAAAAAATGTTAAAGATGTCAAGGAAGCTATTATAATTTATCAGTTTCCCTACAAGCTCGTTAGATAGAAATTGTAGAGTGCAAAACTCTATGTAAATCAATACAAACCTGGTGTTGATTAAGTTTGAGAAGCGCTGGCTTATTGGAACCCACCTTGTTAAATTGATGCCCTAAAAAAATTGTAAAAGATTATCTGGTCATAAAAAATGAATGTCTTTGAGTGTTGTGTTGACATAGGAATGGAAATCTTCATGGAAGAGCACCTTTAATAGTCCTAAACTCCACATTAAGGTTTTTGGAGGTCGGCTCATTTCCACTAAAGAAAAATCTTTCCTTGGTCTGTAACACTCATAAACATAGAAGATGTTAATCAATAAAAGCATCATTCATGCTTACAAGGCCGAGAGTTACATCGCTTTCCACTGGGAAAAAGATATGGACGGCAGACATTCACAAAGCCAAAATTATCAACACAAAAAGGTCTCGATTAAATTACCATACTAAGGACTCCAGAAATTCCAAGGCTGTTGACTGAAGACTTCAACTTGGCACACTTCACTAGTTGCCCGTCAGCCATGGTAGATAGAAAGTACAAGTCTATGAAAAAGACAAATAAAACAATACACAGGTCTCTATAAGATTAGTGAAGACACATGTCAAAACCCGCCGTTTGGCAGGGCGGCCCGCCATCCTAGCAGGCCTCTAAATGGCCAGTCTGGCCTAACCCCGCCACGGGCCA